CCCCACGGGCAGAACACCATTTACCTTTTCCACTTCAACGTGACCTCAAAATAAACGCTTCCCTCCCTCAGGAGTCTGTATGAGTGGCAAAATTCATCACACGTCTCTGATATATTAGACTCGGTAGAGCCATTATCATTTACTTAAAAAATCTTGTGATGTGAATATGAAATGCAAGCATGTAAAAAGTATTACCATCTTCCGCAGTGTGTAGGTGTAGGTGCTTCGTGCTTTGGTTTTTACAAGTGTTAGCCTTTTAAAAAGCATAAGATGGGCAGGAGATTAGTAAGCAGAACACAATTTAATATTCAGCGTTACATTATGATTGATGAGAAAATTATTATTATGAAGTTTCATAATTTGATAAGCTGGGAAGCTGGGAATCAGAGCACATTTTGTGCCTCGTTTATCATCACCCGCAGTGAGGACAGACATCGGTCCCCTGGTATTGCGGTCCCTGTCTGTGGTATCGCTCTCCATACCTCTGTAGATTACGTTCAGAAAGGAAAGTTTTGGACATCTCGACTCTAAATGATAAATGAGAGAGTAGTTGTCCTGAGGTACATGACAGAGTTAATCTCTGTTAAATCCGATCACGGTGAGCTGATTGTGACTTCTTAGAGTGCAGTGACGGGAAAGTGGTCTCTGAATCCATCAACTAATACTCCCACGTGCCAGCGAGACACAGGCAACTCTCTTGCTTAGAAAATAATCATAGACTCTTTTTCTTTTCTTTTACAAAAAAATATCACTGGCTGGAGCACTATGATGATCTTTTGTACACCTGAGATTATTAGTGGGTTTCTGAGTGTTTGTCGATGAGGGGATGAGTCAAAGAGAGGTCTTGTTCTCCATGTAAGTACTTAGACTGTTGTGATTGTAGTGTCTTTGTCAACCTGTCTGTCTTAATGACAGATAGAGGCAGCGTTTGAACTATACCGTGGACTTTGGGGGAGCCCACTTGATTTTTTTTATAACGGGGGGGTGGGGGGGTGGGGGGGGTGGAATGTGGGGTGTTTGGTTCGTGCACAAGTGTGGGAGCCCTCTTGTTTTTTTTATAACTGGGGAGGGGGATTCGTGCACTTGCGCATGCCTCAAAAGAGAGCTTACAGTGTCTAACAAAGATACATAACAGCTACAAGTGTATGCACTACTTGCTTTATCACTATACAGGATTTACCCTATTATACTTTGTCGACACAAATTGATAGGTGAAACAACAAACAGCCACCCACAAATAGTCTATAAACAAAGCATCAGGCTGTCTTTGAGTTCACATGAACAACGGTTAAAGTTACTCGTCGTCAGGCTACAGAAGAATACCAGAATTCCTCCATTCAATTAGGCCTAAGACATCGAGAGTCACGCAGACCTATAACAACCCAGCCACAACACATAATTGCGAATAACATGCCTTACCTTAACACAGAATCGACCACAGAGTCCAACGTTTATATTTTTTCTACGAATCTTTGAGTTAACATGTACTAAACATGAGTGGAATTTGCACCGCAGCGTCCCCACACCTTGATGCTCATGACAAGAATAACATGTATAGTTATCTTTATTGAAGTGAATTAGGTTTAAATCGCCGTCATGCATGAATGAACAATATTTTTGCAATTTACACATAATAATCCACGATGATCACATTAATCAAAACTGAAATTGCACGTCAAAATAACACATTGTAAATATTTTTTGAGACCCCCCAAAATTTCATAAATCACATTTTCAGGGGAGCCCATGTCTTATTAAGGGGAGCCGAGCTCCCCCTTGCTCCCCCGTAGTTCGCACCCTGAACAGAGGTTACATAGCCAGCTTTCATTTTCTTGACACTACCACTGCATTTGTGTGACTGAGTACTCAAACTTAAACAAAAACAATGATAACTTATTATTATTATTATTATTCATATTATATAAGAATGGTGTACCACAAGGCTCAGTCTTAGGTCCTTTTTTTGTTTGTTGTATATGTGTCCCCCTTTGTGATATATTGCTATTAGGAAATAAAGCTTTAACTTTCTTTCTTATACAACATAAGACATAAAGACCACAGCAAAGGCAGAAAGACTGAAACCTATTACAGAATATCAGCATTATAGCATGACGTTTGACAGCATGGTTATGTTTACCCTTAACTGTAATTTCCTGAGAAAGAATAGCTGTTTGTTATGCCATCTTGTATTTCTTAAACGTCAAGCCAAAGTCATAATCACAGTGTTGTGATTATTTTTTTTTAATTCCTGTAATTTTTCTTTTAAATCCTGTGTTAAAATTATGATCTAATAAGCCTGTTTGACATAATGAGACACATTTTAATTAGATTTACAGGTAATAGAGTTAATGTAGGAACATATGAAATAACACAATTATGAATAACATATTATGAAACAACACAAATGGATAACAATTATGTAATGGCCACAAAAACAAAACTATCATATATTTCTATAAATCTAATTTAAAGCATTTAGAGGGATAAGTTCAGCCAAAAAATTTAATTTCTGTCATCATATATTCTCATACCCTCATGTCATTCCAAAACCTTAATGATTTAAAGAGCACCATAACAGTTGAATACAAGTTTTATATCATAAAGTGTATTCCAACTCTTCTGAAGCCATACAGTAGCTTTATGTGAGGAACAGGCTGGAAAGCTTACCTAAAATCTAACCTCAGATGTTCGTTAAGTGCAATTTTCCTTTTGTGCAGTCATGAATGTGTATATTAAAATTTGGCGTGCCACATTTTGATGTGTGATATTTCAGTATACATGAATGTTAATGAGATGAGACCTGCTGCAGATGAGAAGTCATGAGAAAGCTGCAGAGGAGATCACCCCTGACTAATGAATTAGTCTTTGTCTCACACATGTGACTTCAGAAGATGCGAAACATTACTGTTACGGAGCTGACAAGACGTGAGACGTGCGGATCCATATGCAAGCTTTTATTTTGGAGAAGACAGAGACGTGGTCATAAAACAGGCAGGGTCAAACAGTGGCAAACAGGTATATGGTGGGCAAAACACAAGAATAGTCCTAGGGCTAGCGTAGGTCGATGAACGGCAGACAGAATCAGGAGGGACAAGACTAAAGGGAGAAATCCAGGAAACCAGGCGAAGATCAGGAACCGAGAAAACGGCTAAGGCTAAGGCTAAGGCTAAGGCTAAGGCTAAGGCTAAGGCTAAGGCTAAGGCTAAGGCTAAGGCTAAGGCTAAGGCAACGAATGAGGGCTCTGTAGTGTAGCTATCTGGAGATATGCGCTAAACAATACTCGGCAGAGGGAAGGGATCAGAGTGAGTGTTAAATAGTGAGGGAGTGATATGAAACAGCTGGGTGCAATCAGTGTACAGCTGTGTGCAATCAGTGCAATGAATGATGGGATATGTAGTCCGGGGTGACGTGATGGAAAAGACCAGTGAACATTAAATGTGTGAACTACGCTGAATTTTACCTTTTGTGTTCCATGGAAAAAAATATTGTACAGATTTGGAATGACATGAGGGTGAGTAAATGGTGACAGAATTTTCATTTTGTGTTGAACTATTACATTACTGACATTTCGAGGGCAAAAGCACAGTGCATTTGCGTGACCAACTTACACCGTGGCAAAACATTGTAAACTATTGTAAATGTGGCCACACCTTCTAACAAAATTCTCGATCATGTAGATTCCTATTGAAAAAAAATGACTCTAATTTCAATGTGACTTTTGATTAAAGGTGGGGTAAGCGATTTTTCAAAAACGCTTTAGAAAACTGATTCGGGTCGAATAGCAAAACAAACTTGTAGCCAATCAGCAGTAAGGGGCGTGTCTACTCATGATGTGGAGGAGAGAGCGTTTAGTGCTCACATTAGCGAGCCAAGGAACAGAAAGATAGAGATGGCAGATAAAAATATATCGGGTCAGCTTTCCAGCGCTGGAGAGAACTCAAGGAGCGGAAGGCCTGCGATCGGATGCCGAGGTTGCTTTGTTTCTTCTCGATAGGTGAGTAACACCGTGTGTGCGCCGCAACAGCTAAAGTCTGTCTAGTACACTGGACGCGACAAAGCGACCGCTGAAAATCATTTGAAATTTGTGTCAATACGTCATAAATAGAACGCAGCAGCAG